AACAACAAGAATTATCCTTTCGCCATGTGGAGGACGGAGATTCGTCGTCCACAGAAGAATTAGAGGAGTAAGCTTACAGAGCTCCATCTCGGATCCTTCCGAGATGAGACATTCACCACTTCCTATTAAAGAATTCACTCGACATTTCCAGGAATGTGTCCGAGGTCGACCTGCTCGAACCCGACACATCCGACCTCAAATCCGACCAAGGTAACCGCCTGTCGTAACCCTTGTTGGAACATAAACTTATAAATAGAGGGTTTCATTTCACCATCAGGTATGGAATTTCTCCTCGAACTTAATATTGAGTCTGAGCTGCCTATTAACTTGAGCGTCGGAGATTTTGTCCTCTTTTGCAGGTCTTCCCTTCGCGTTTCGAGTCAGAGCAAGGACCAGGTTTGAGCTGGATAGACGTTGTGCAAACCCTTGCATAAACAAACATGTAGTTACCAAAAAATCAGTACTAAATTATGTGATCTACTAAATATGCGGTTACCATAAAATTAAACTTAAACATTTGTAATCATAAACAACCAGAATTACACAGAAAACTTACCATCTGAAGTAGAAACTCCGTATATTAATCAGTTGCTCTTTCTTTTTTGGGATTTGTTGACTCGTTTATCCCAGAGTCTGTTTTGGAATCCGTCAATTTATCTCATCCAGGATCTGTCCTGGGATTTGTTGATTCGTTCGTTGTGGGTCCTGTCTCAGAACTCATTGATTTGTTTTTTTTTTCTCGGCTACCTTAGGTAGGGGAAGCCCCCGAGTCGTATGACATTCATCGTTGTCTGCCTCCAGAATACATGTCAATTCGTTTCTCTCGAGATCTCCTTGGATCTAAGTAGTTCTCGGTCAATTTGTCGTCAATCGTCTTGAGTTTTAGATCTTAGTCGTCCCCACAGACAGCGCCAATTGTTGATGCAGAAATTTGGTCTCATGGGATTCCACCAAATTCGCACCAATCTTCTAGAATAAAAAAGATCGACAAGACCTGCAAAACAGAATAGTAAATACCGGTGTGGCTCTTGCCACACAGACTTCAATGCTTAAGTCAAAATCAGAGCACGTTGAATGTAAAGCGTAGGGTGGTGTGAGCATTTAATAATCCTACTTTTCAATTTCGTATATTTGATTTAAATTTCATAATTTAATTAAACAAACAAAATAATTTATAGAAATTAATAAATATTATAAGTGAAATTTATAAAAGAGTGACCTAATAAATTTTATAATTTTATCTTCTTTTTTTCTTTCTTCATGACCTAGCAATCCGTATGAACCTTCCCCAAGTATAACCCAAAGCCGATTATTAGAAAATAACTATCACTATTGTGATTAATAAATTTTTATTTCAAAATAAATAAATAAATAATTTGTTATCCATAAATATTTAAAAGAGAAAAGGAAAAAGAAAAAAGATTCTTCATGTGCCACGCAGGAGCTGGAGGGTAATCTGGACCGTACATCTTTAGTACTTTAAATATTTTGACTTCTCTAGATCCGACACCAAGTTATGGAACCTTGATACAAAATAGCCACGTGTTCAAATCTCTGATTCCCTCTTTCAGTTTAACGGCCTAGATAGAATCTATGAATAGAAAGTCAACCATCCAAAAAATAAATAAATAACCAAAGAAACGTCCATTACTAAACAATCTATGATTTATATATTCGATTATATTATTATTTAAATATATCAAATTTATAATAATTTCTTATTGAAATATATATTATTTGGTGGGAAAAAAGTTTTAAATACTATTTTTTGTTACTGTATTTGTATTTTCAGTTTTGGTTCGTTTACTCTCAAAACATTCATATTGATTTCTGTAATTTAAATTTTGTTTATTTTAGTCTATATATTTTTAAAATATCAATTTTGATCTTTTCATTGTTCATTTTGATCCTATTTCTTTTATCATAATTTTAACATTATATTTTGACTAAAATTGTCACTTTTTAGAAGTATAGAGATCAAAGTGGACATTTTAAAAGTATAATAACTAAAATTAACAAAATTAATAATACGGTAACTAAAATGAATTGGAAGTATATGAACTAAAGTAAATGAATCCAAATGGTATTCAATGATTATACAAAATCTTAAGATTTGAAGTTTTTCTCTCTTCTTTTAATCGCATATTGAAGATTTTCTCTTTAATTTCTAATCTTAAGATTTTAAAATTGGAAGATTAAAAATCAGAAACGTTAGAATTTAAAACTTTACTCTCGTTAACGTGAACTTAGCTTAGCGGTAAATGATAATCAAAAGGTCATTAGTACTAATCCATCCTATTTGTAAAAAATAAAAATAATAAAAAAAACTTATCTCTACACAAATTTATGACTTCACCCCTCATTAAGTCGTAAGCTTTTGTTTCTACAAAGTCCTAGTCTTTATTCTTTTATTTGAATAATTTATGGTACATTGTATTTGTTTATTTGAAAACAAAAATTTGGAAACAACGACTTAACGAAATATAGAGTTTTATTTTTTGCTTTCAATATTTTCGGATATATGTTTAGTATCAAATTTGAAAATTGAATCTCAATTTAAAAATTGTTCAGTAAATGAAAATGAAATCCTATTTCTAACATATATTTAGTTATATAGTTGTAAACTATTGGAAGTTACCAACTAAATATTTAGTTCAATTTAAAATCATAAAATTTTTATAAATTTTGTAGAATTATTATTTTACAATACTATATAATTTACCTATATTATATTTTAGAATATTTTAATTTTAACCAAAAAAAATGAAATGAGTTTATAATATGAAATAGTTATTTATCGAAGCTTTTATTAATGAAATTATGCATTTTAAAGTGTCAAATTCAAAATCTAACCGTGAAAACATTAGGTTGTTTTTCAGAATTTCCACTATTTTGATCATAGAATTTAAAAAGTTCAAAAAAAAAATCCGACAGATATTCAATAAATCATCTGATTTAGTAAATCAAACCGAATCTGGACCCTTGGTTTTTTAAGGTTTCAATGGAAGTTTAAAGGTTAAATTTTCAAATTGGGGTCCTTGAACTTTATAGTTGTCTAATAAACCACTAAACTATTAAAATTGTTTACTATATATCCTAAACTTTAGATATCGTATTTAATAAGTTCCTAAATTTAAAAAACAAAAAAAAATTGTAAGTATCTATTAAGTCCCTAAACTTTTTTAAAAAATTGCCTTATAAGTTAAAGATCTATTAGACACAGAATTAAAAGTTTATGGATGACACGAAATTATTCTTTTTAAGTAGAAAAACATTTTTTTAGTGCAAACATGTGGAGGTGGGAGATCGAACTCGCAACCTCTTGGTTGAATATGTCAATTATCGAGCTACGCTCATTTTGGCAAATAAAAAATGTTATTACAGTTAGATAATAAAGTATTAAAACTTGATTATATTAATCGATAAGCTCCACCATCATTCATTCTTTTCACAAATATGAGAGAAAATAAAAAGCAAGGAGTGAAGATTGATTTTTTTTAAAAAAAAAAAAGAATAAATAGTGGTTAAATTGTGAATGGTGGTCAATTGATATAAGATTTTTCTAATGTAAATAATTATTTTCAAATGGTAAGGACGACTTAGTCGTTCGCATAAAAGTTATAGGTCTAATTAATTTTTATTTTATCTTGATGACTTAACAAATAAAATTAAATTTATTACATATACGTTTTTTCAACAATAAATAAATAAATTACATTTATCTAACTTGAAGTGTTCCAATATTTTGGCTATTGTATCGTACTTCCCTTTCATAGAGGTTTAAATTTCATTTCGTAACTAAGCTTTTAAGTTTATTTAATTTTGGGCTTTGAAATTTAAAAGAATTTATTTTATTCTCTAAGCTTCTAGATTTATTTTAGTTAGAGTTTTAAAGTTTCAAAATATCTATTTTAATTTTTTAACTCATTTTGGTTTAAATATGATTTTGAATCCTCTAATCTCACTAGTATTTAAAAAATATATAAAAAAAATACTTAGCACGTAGGTATATAATAAAAGGACCAAAATACCACTCAAAGTACTGAGTTTCTATCAACATTTCTATATATACATGGACTAAATATTGTCAATAAAATATCACATTATTTTCAAACATATTTTTCTTTCTTTTATTATCTACTTTTTAAAAACATTTTTAATGTTTAAGGCAAATGTTAAGAATTAAAAAGAGAAAAAAAATGTTTTTAAAATTTGTTTTTTAGTTTTAGAATTGGACTAAAATTCAAACATGTGTGGGAGAAAAATGAAAAAAAATATATATTAAACAAATTATAAGGAATCAAGTATAATCTTTAAAACTAGAAAACCATGAACAAAATCATCCATTTCTCTCAATTTTATGTTCTTTAAAAAATTATTAGATAACTTTTAAAATTTAGGTGGATTGTTTGGTAACGTTCTGATTTCTTGTTTCTCATCTTAAATATATTAAGAAATTCAAACATGTGATGATTGTCTATATTTTTTGTTTCTCATTTTTTTACCACCATTCTCAAACTTATATAAAAAACTTTACAAACAAAAAAGTCAAATTATTGTTTCTTATTCACGTTTCAAATTTGTTCCAAAACATAAATAAAAATATTGTTATATCATTCTGGACTTATAAAATGAATAATAAAGGTCAAAAAATAATAATAACATAAGAATTAAATAATAATATAATTTCTTCTTTACTTTTTTACTTTTTTACTTTTTTCAAGAACCAAAAAAAAAAATTAGTTAGCCTATTTTTATTATTAGAAAAAAAACAACAATATTGGATAAAACTTGACTCCTCGCTAACTAGTAAGAAGCAATATTGTCTTTACCACCATCAACATATTATTTTTTAAATTAAATTTTTATTTTTACATTTATATCTCTGGCTGTCAAATATTTTAATATTTATATATTTAACGATAGGGGTATTTTGGTCATTTCGTTACCTTTTGGACTATAAAAGGCGCTCGAACCATTCCAATACGACTTTTAGATAGCGAGGAGCAGCCGGAAAGCCGACCGAGTGGGAAGAACAGAGCCACCGCCGGCCTCGCCGGAATTCGCATCTCCGGCCACCGCAATCTCGACTTTCCGATCAAATTCCCTCTCCTTGTTCCCGTAGAGAAATAGCCGGAATCTGAATTGGGATTTTTGGGCGAAAGAGAGAAATGATGGGATTTTTCGCGATTCCGTTGGAGATTTCGGCTAGGTTACTGTGGACTACCAGTTTCTTCCGCCATAAGCGATCTTGATCTCGATCTCGATCTTGATCTTGATCTTTGATTAATCCTCTTTTTTTTTCCTTCCTTCGAGATTAGTACTGTTCCTTGCTTTAGGTCACCAAAATCCTTCGCCTTAGAAACCAGAAATTTCCGTTCCGCCGCCGGAAGTCGAGAAACAGAGAAAGAGGAGATTCGATTCGATGGAATCTGGTCGGTTCTTGTTCAACCCGCCGGCTACCCATGGCCAGATGCTTTACCTCGGCGGAGGTGAATTTCTCTTCTAAATTTATTAGAACTCTTTTTTTTTTCCTTTTTAACCCTTTATTTTAAATTAATATTTGGGTTTCGTATTTCGTTTAGTTGAACTCAAAAATTAATAATAATAATAATATTAAAATAAAAATGTGAGGTTTTAATTTTATTCCATATTTCAAGCAGTTTGAATATTTATCCTTTAACTAGTTGAATTATATTCAGAATCTCGTATTAGAAATGTTAATAGATTCTTGAACTTAAAAAGGAATTTAAAATTTTTAACTTTTTTCTGTAATAAGGAATTTAAAAGAAAAAATTGTTTTGGGTAGGTTTCTAAAATTTAAGAAGATATATATTATACATGAAATGGAAAGTTTATAGATCTAAAATTTTAATGATCTATTAGATATTTTTTTGAGTTTAAGGATGTATTCCAAATTATTAAAAAGCCGCCAAAGCAAGGAGTTCGAATCCCATTCCCGATATGTTATACTAAAAAAAATGCCTAAAACTTTCAGGGACCAGAATTGTAATTTAATTTTAATAAAATGTGAGACTATCATGAGAGACTTAATTAAATTAAATTATAGAAACTAAAACTGAAATTCTTAAAATTATGATATTTGTGAACTAAAATGACAAACTAAAACCCAATGCCCATTCATTTTAATTTTTCGTTTTTCGTTTTGAAAAATTAAAATTAGAAAACACTATTTTTCACTTTTTATTTTGTTATCTACTTTTATAAATAAAAAAATAAAATAAAATTTTAAATGTAAGTCAAATTTTTAAAACTAAAAAAATAGATTTTAATATTTTGTTTATATTTTTTAAATTTGAATAAGAAAAATGTAAAAATAAATTGTGAGAAATTAAACACAACTTTTTAAAATAGAAAATAAAAAAGGAAAGAGTCAGAGGACTTAAATTATTGAATTAAAAAATTAGCATAAAATAGGATTTAATGCCTTTTTTATTAACCACGGTTGGCAGGTGGTTACTTTTTAAAATATTTTTTTAGTTTTCTGCCAAAAATTTCAAACCAGAGAAATTAGCTGACCTATAGTTTTGGGAATCCCATGCTTCTATCGGACAAATTTGTTCAATATATAAAAAATAAAAATGATATTTGTAAGATTTGATTTTTTTTATTTATTATCTATAAATTAATTAGTGGTATGCGAATATGAGATTAGCTCGACGGTAATTGATTGACACATGTCTCCAATTATCATTGAGCAATGCTAATGTTGACGGGTATAGAATGAATTTAAATTTATCGATAATGTTTGTTTAATAACGATTTAAATATTATTCTGACCCATGTAATTTTGAGTTTAGTTCATTTTGATTTCTATACTTTCAAAATATCTATTTTCTTCTGTCTACTCTCATTTTTTATTTATTTATTGTGTATAAATATTTGTCTCTTTTTTAGACTAAAATAAACCAAAACTAAAAATAACGACCAAAATAGTATTTAAATCCCGGTGAACTACAGCATGCCTGACTTTTAGAATAATCCAAATATTGCTATATTTTTTTTTCTTATTTAATAGTCACTTGCTGACTTTTAGAATAATCCAAATATTGCTATATTTTTTTTTCTTATTTAATAGTCACTTGCGATTTGGGAGTGGGTTTCCTTTTCTTTTGTTCTTGAACAATTGATTTTTAATTTAGTGGTCTATTAGTGTTTTTTCCGCACACTCTTTCTAGTTTAATAGATTTAAATGTTAATGGAAAATCATCTTGTTAAAAAGATAATAAAATTGTTGAAATTTTATTTATAACGTTTGAAATTTTTCTAATCTTATTTGAGTTTAGGTATATTTTTTTATCCTTTATTTCTTGTTTCTATATTTTTCAAATTGATGATGAAATTGCCATTTTATATTCCGTTTTATTATTAACAATTAACAAACGTAAGAGGTAGAAATTTGAGCATTCACCCTTTTATATTTAATTTTAAAAATTAAATTGTAAATAAAATTTCTCTCTAGAAAATGATTGAACAAAAAACAAAAACGGCTGCGAAATGCATTTCCTTTAAAAGTCTGATTTTTGGAAAGGAATTCATGTTTTTAACTTCTGTTATAAATTTATGGTCCTTTTTTTCTATGGATTTTCCCTCGATAAGTAAATAAAAACTTATTTTTCTTTTCAAATTTAAATGATGACCAATCAAGGAGGAAGAAGAATGATGAGCATGAGCATGCAGGAAAGCCCAAAGGGGCGGCCGTTTTTCAGATCACCCCACGATCTTTACGACGACGAATATTACGACGAGCTCTACCCCGAAAAGAAGCGCCGCCTTAGTCACGACCAGGTTTGTGACATTTGCCTTTTATGCTGCCATTTTCACCAGTTCTCTCTTTCAAGTTGTGGAAGAACTTTTTTTAAGGTTCAAATGCTGGAGAAGAGCTTTGAGGAAGAGAACAAACTGGAGCCAGAGCGGAAGACTCAACTGGCCAAGAAACTGGGGCTGCAGCCAAGGCAGGTCGCCGTGTGGTACCAAAACCGCCGTGCTCGGTGGAAGATGAAGCAGCTCGAAAGGGACTACGATCTTCTCAAGGCTTCGTATGATTTGCTTCTCTCTAACTATGACTCCATTGTCAAAGAAAATGCAGTTCTTAAATCTGAGGTGAGTTTCATTCCCATTTTAAAGTATTAAATAATGTATAAATTCATATTTTTGAAAGTTCAGAAACTAAGTCTGAGAATTAGACTTATCAAATTCATTATATGCATAATAGACCATAGTATTTTCAGGTGGCTTCCCTAGCAGAGAAATTTCTAAACAAAGAGCTAACCGGAGAAGCGTCGGTTCCACATATAACATCCGAACCTCTTCTAGCAAACATTGTGCACGTCTCCTCCCCACGCTCTGGCAGAAAGGCCGAAGACCGTCTGAGTTCAGGGAGCAACAGCAGTGCACCGGTCGACGACAATTGCCCACAACTCATCGACAGTGGTGACTCTTACTTCCCCAGCAACGAATATCTGCAAATAGAGAATGACGACAAGAGCGACAACGGCTACAATTTCTTCTCCGATATGTTTGCAGCAACAAACCAACAGAATCAGGAGGGTGGTCATCCAGCTTGGTGGGCATGGCCATAGGAGTCTCATTCAACTTGTTACAGCCTGTTGCTTATACAAATGTTTGAAAGTTTTCACTTGTTTGTAACCAATAAATTTCAGGTATTGTCCTTGTATGAAGTATTTTGTATTGAACTTGACAGTAAAATGTAATAGGCAGCTTTGAAGTCTATGTTCTTCCTTCCCACTTACTCAACAGAACTGAAAAGATCGTATCTTTACTGCCCAAATACACAACTCAATCAGCAAACGAGTTTCCACTTGAGATTTTCAATTCAGCTCAAGAGACCAAAAATGGCAAGAAGTTTCATCCAAAACAAAATTCCATGGCCTCACAAGAACTTTAAATTCTTAACATTACAAAGATATTATACCTTAATCTGGTTTAAAGGTGGTCAAACCATGAGGAAGAAAATTCTAATCAGCTGTGAAGCACGTTCCTGCTCGAACAATCATTGAAACCGAAACTGAATTCCCAATGGGGAGAGGCTCAGTAACTATCACTGACAGTAATAATGACACAATAGATACAGGAAATATCCAAGAGCAACCTTATTAAGCAGATTCTTAAAATTTCAAGGAAACCGGGCCGTCGAGAATAATGAGACAGAAAAAGCTGTGCAACTAACTATTTTTTGTTGCTATAAGCACAAATATTGGAGATTCTAAATCAGACCATAGTACTTACGACCTACCTGTTGCAAGTATTGGGGAAGGTCCAAAACAAGTCCTTGCTCGCCAAGTACCTAGGAAAACAAAATGCCTCTACAGAAGAAACGTTGAATTTAACAATTGCCTGCCATGGCGACTGCTGCAGAACTTATAAATAGGTTCGAGTATTTGAAACCTGCGGTGTGAAAGATATACTGAAGAAAATCCTACCATGCAGGTTATTTGCATCACAAGAGAAAACAGCGCGATTTTTCCTCCCCTCCAGTGAATGACGATCAGGCATCTACAAGTACCCAGTTGGAATGAAAATAAATGGCGAAGAAAAAATGTGTGGCCGGATAGGAGGGGTAAAGAAATGTAAAGAATTAAATATGATTACAACTGAGCATTAATTCTTTTTCTAGACTTCCCTTCTCCCTTTTCTATTTATACATAATGCTTTCTATGTATATGGATTCTCGCTCTTTTAAGGACAGCATCATCCTTCTAAATGCGTCTCTCTTGAAGAATAGACATCATTTGATCCTACCCACTCCAAGCATTTAACGAAAAACTCCAGCAGTTCAGTCCAAAATTGGGCAAAGGGACCATATTATCAATTAGAGTTGGAGCCTCAAGCAGTCTTTATGAACAAAGCTTAGTTTATAGATTCCGAACCGCGTATCCCAGTTAGTAGAGTTACCTCTATGTACAAACGATCTGTCAGCAGCAGGGGCTCAATGGTTGCAGTAGCGACTTCATAAAGAACTCCAAATTTGTCGAGCAATGGCACGGTATAAGCCACAAAATGAATTGAAGGTGCTTGTCCTCTAAACACAAGACCTCTTACCACCACCATAACCACTGGAAGAAACCCTCTTAGTTGAGTTTGTCGAGAGTAAAATTATGAGACTCCCAGATTAACCCTCTGGTTCCTTTCTTTTCTTGCCAGATTTCCTGCTTGCCCTGGGCTTTTCTGTTAAATCCATACCAGCCAGCTTCTGTTCCGGTATACTGCTCGGGTCCAGATAGTCATTTGAATCTTGATTAGGGGATATCTTCTCATATATAATCGCAGCATCAAGAGAGAATATACGCAGCGCAAGAGAAGACACAGAGGAAATTTTGGCAGCAGCAGAGAGAGACGACCAGTACCACCATTCATTCTTCAAGTATTCCGTTCTTATCATGTCCTCTAATGCAATTGTTGCCTGAACGATCTGGAGAAATGAACAAGTGTTATTTGCACCTCATGAAATTCAAGAACCCAGAAAGTTATTCATTGCTTCAAACTTGGGTAAAGCTTCACGTAAATTATTCTGCACCACACAATTTCTATAGAAAAGTATAGATAGATAGTTCATCCCAATAATCAATGCAAGCTAGTAAGCAATGGATGCAACTGCAACAAAAAAACATGAAGGCAATGGATCCACAAATATACAGTGATGAGTGAAGTACCCAAGCTCAGTAACTGAATTAAGAAATACTAACCTCAAAAATTGTTCCTGCAGATTTTACAAATGCACGCCAGGCCCATCTCCGCTCAATATGTAATTTTGAGGGTCTTAAAGCTTCATCAGGAAGTGCAGCATCCATGTCAAGCAAATTCATCTTCAGTCCTCTTACAACATGCAAGATTCTGCCCACTAATGGCCTATGTGATGATTGAGGGACGACACCACACCTAGCAATCCCAAGCTCTGAAAAACGGTTATCCAAGCAAACTCTTTTACTTTTTGGTTCTGGGCATCCTAATGCCGGTCTTTTTGTTTTCAGTGTACTAATTTCATTTACAGCAGGTCTTTGGATTGAACTATCAAAAGAAGAATTTAGATGGCAAGCATTTTCCAGACCATTATGTCCTAGTGAAGCCAGCCTTTCAGAGGACAAGGTCCCATCCTCCGGAGTATCAGAATCATTCTTGAGATGAATTGCAGTCAATGTTGATTCCATAATATATGGTGATACAGATGGCAAAAGTGATGGAACCCCATTAGAACTAATAAGTCCAATCTCCTTAATAGCATCCTTGTTCGAATCCTTTGTCAAAAACTTAGAACAGATGAGTTCAAAGTCATATGGACACATCACACCATCATTCTGAAATTTAATTAACCTCATACTATGGTTAAAACACCCTCCCTTTGAAGCTTCTGTTATAGTCGTGCTTGAGATCTCCTCCTGATTGCTCTCAAATTTCATATTGCCTTTACTTTTTAAACAAACGCCAGCTTCCTTAACACCATCAGATGAGGTAGGGTGTGAACTACACTTTCCATCATCATGTCTCTCAAGTTCAATATCAGATGAAAAGCTTTTGTGGCAAGAGAGACAATGCTGCCGAGAAGGCCAGACAGGCTCCAAGCATACACACCTGTACATTTTCTCATCTTCCTCTAGACTGGTCTTGTATGGCCATCTATTTAAGTTGTTGGGCGTTTCAAGTTCAAGGCAGGGACCATACTTACTTTCCAATACAGCAGATGCCCTGGTAACAAGAAAACCAGAACATTCAAGTTTTTCAACGTCCATGCTTGCTGATGAAGCCCTTAACTGCTCTTCAGGACTTTGATTATTGGATCGTGAAGACATTTGAAGTTTAGGTTTATGCCATTGCAAAATAGACTCCTTTAACTCCTTTTCTTTGGGGTCGTTATCTTTCAGCCAATCAATGAGTTCTAGTATTGCATCCTCCGTTTGATAAGAAACCCATGAGAAATTGCCAACGGAATTCCTTGGCAGATGAATCGATGCAGAATACATGTTTAACCCATCCAAACTTGAATAATTGCGATTGCTGGATGAAGAAAAATTCTTAAACATGCAATCTTTACCGACTTGGTCTCTAAAATCGTTTCCAATCTGCATCAGTAAATTTCCACTAGCAATGATTTGCGGCTGTCCATTTGACATAACAGTAGCCCAATACAATCTACCAGCAGAGTCACTACCCAAAAACTCTCTCCGCACAGAAACCTTCAGAAGCTCCAATTCTATACCTGCAATAGAATCTTGCAGCTGTGATATGTCCTGCTTAATACTATCCAACTCATTATGATAGGCTTGTGATTCATTCAAAGGAGGAACATGTGGAGCTACAGGCACTCCCTTAGCATCAGAAAGGGTACAACGTTGCTTTGTGGATGGTAGAGCTGAAATTTCAGACTCCATATTACTTTCCTCGGAACCATCAACTTCTTGTGGCAAAGAACCGGACAAAGGTGGCTGATTAAATTTCAAAGGTTTGCCACTGTTTTGAGAACCTGAATTGGATAGAACACTGCCAGCTACATCATTGTTATTAATAACATCATGGGTGTTGTTCATTTGCTCCTGGAAACCTGCATGGTTGTGAGACTTGTTCTCTAAGCTCGTTGGAGATGAGTATTGATCAGAAACACCAAGCCTAGTTCCATTACAACTACCTTGTCCTGATACATCATCAGAGAACAAATTAAAATGGTTAGACCAACCAAAAAAGATGAGAAGTGAAAACATTTACTGTAATTATCAGGTAAGCTAGCTCATCCATCCTTAATCCCACCTTCCCGAACTGCACTGAACATAGTTGTATCCAGCTTTGCAGCTTTTGCAGCCACAACTTCTTCCCTAGACTTGAGATTTTTCCACTCCACGAGACATGAACGTAACTTCTGCTGCAACTCAGCAGATGCCTCTACACACTGCTCAAGATGTTGTCGAATTAAAGCAGAGCTAAGCAACTCATCACATAGATATTTGAGCAAGAATAACCTCTGCATCCATAAGAAACATATCCTTAAGATAGTATGGACCATGAAATGGAAACCATCCTTCTTATTATATCATAAACTTGTGTGGTGATTGAATTGAACCATACTGAGATGAGTATATCATTAGCACCATTTTAATATAGAAAGAAGTGCACAAGGAAAACTCTGAGAAGGAACCAAATAAAACAATGGAATAGGAGAAAAACTGTATGCTTATGTCCAGCACGTGTAACGACAAATAATCCAAGAATTAGAAAATTAACAAACCTCATCCACACTGAACTCCCAATACTCCTTCTCTTCCAATGCAACCGCTAGATTGGCAAGTCTATGCAGAAAATCATGAGTAACTTCTCCTCTGAATTTCTTACCTTTGTGCAGATTAAAAATGTGGTTCCGAGTATGTTCCAACGGATCTTCAACCATATGTGTTCCCATGACACAAGAGGGACAGTACCAGTTCCCTTCAGGAATCCTAGCAAGAGGAGGATTCAAACAATATGTATGATATTCAGCATCACATGTATCACACAGAAGGACACTGTCATCATCTTTATCAATGCCACACACTTTGCAGACTCCCTCATCCCAAGGGGCTTTTGGAATCTCATTTGAGGACACTACAAAGCTATCTACTTCCACTTTTGTCTCTGCACTTAGAGATTCTAGCTTGGAGAACTCCTGAAGTTTTTGAATAAGAGATACAACCTGCAAGAAAAGTTAAAAACTTATCTTCAGAGAGATATGTAGTTTTTAAGGTGTTCCTATGATGGGAATGGGTACAACCTTTTCTGTCAAGTGTCAAAAATACGTCATTAGTAAGTGTGCATATGCGTAAGAGAGAATAACATCATACGGATGGTATGACTAACAAGTTTTAAAAGAAAAAAACATGGAACATTTTGAAGAGCACCTTTGGCAGGTGTTCCAAGATTTTTTTGAAAATAGAATTATTAACAAGCACACCAATGGGACGTACATTTGCCTCATTCTTAAGAAAAACAGGGAAACTAAGGTTAGTGATTATAGCCCTATTAGTCTTGTGACTTTCCCGTACAAGATCATTGCTAAGGTGCTCTCGGAAAGGCTTAAGAGGGTGCTGCCCTTTATAATCCATGATGCTCAAGCGGCCTTTGTAAGATAGACAAATCTTGGATGTAATTTTAGTTGCTTACAAAGCGGTTGGCGAGTGGAAGGCCAAGACAAAAGGTTTTTTCTTAAAGCTTGATTTGAAACGACCTATGACAAGGTTGATTGGAGCTACCTAGATTCGGTCCTTTTGTTTAAAGGCTTTGGGAGAAAATAGAGAAAGTGGATCATGGGCTGTATCTCCTCGGCAAACTTGTCAATTTTTGTGAATGGTAGACCTAAAGGTGAAATCTTGGCCGAAAAGGGGATTCGGCAAGGTGACCCACTCTCCCTTTTCCTTTTTACTATCCTTGGAGACTCCCTCAGCCACCTTATTCACAATTGCAACGAAAGGAGCATGCTTAGAGGCTTCAGAGTGGGTTATCAATTGGCGGAGGTGACTCACTTTCAATATGTGGATGACAGTCTTTTTTTTTTGCCCCAATTTGATCAAAATGCTAAGATTTTGGCAGCTCATTTTGAATCTGTCTCTGTATGGTTCAGGTTTGTCTTCAAAACTCTCAAAAATCGTGCTTGTTGGACTAAATGTCAGTTCTTCGGAGGCGATTCTGTTGATATCTCTCCTGGTTGAAAAATGGAGAAGATTCCTTTCAACTATCTAGGCTTCCCTCTAGGTGGCGATCAAAAAAAGCTGGTTTTTTGGATTCTCTGGTAGACATATTAAGAAAGAACTTAGACAAGTGGAGGCACCTCCTCATCTCGAAAGGGAGTCACCTAACTTTAGCCAATCGGTTCTCAATAGTCTCCCCTTTTTCGGGTAAGAAATAAAATATTATATAGAACTGTGATAAGTTCCACTTCCCCAAAGGACCTACATAAGTACCGCTTTCCAGTATCTGTTGATTGTAGACAAACTGTTCTAGGAAGACAAGAGACTAAACCCACCTCTTTCATAAAAAAGGACCAGCTTGTGTAAGCAAATGAGCAATGTAAAAAAAAGTGATTCATGGTTTCTGCACTGCTAAGGCAAAGACAGCATACTGAAGGAGATTCCTTCAAGAAAGGGGTCTCAATGGCATTGAGCTGGAATGCTTCCAATCAATCTTGAGACTTGGGTATCCGAAGAAGCTTTTTTGATAGAGAAGTCAACAATTGGGTGGCCTTCATGCAAAGAATTGAAGGTTGCAGAGAGGGTGTAAGACAAGACAGAATGAAATAGGACATTGACACCAGTGGCTCCTTCACTTGTAAGTCCTAAGTCCTATTTCTAAGTCTTTCCTCTCAAACAGGCAGGTTTCAAGCCCCTCTAGTCAAAGCCATTTGGAATTTCAAGATTCCAAAGAAGGTCGATGTAAGGTTGCCCCTTACCAAAATACAGACATTCAAGCGGAAAAACCACAAGAAACAAGCCCTACGGCAATACAAAATAACCTCCGGTCCAGCCCTCTGGTCCTCTTCCTATCCCAACTTTGCCAAAATAAACAAAACATAATCCTAATAACAGACACTGAAAAGCATATAAAGACCAGACACTGAAAAGAATGTAAAGACCCAACACTGAAAAGCATATAAAGACCCATAATACCCTTCCTTGCATAAGTATTTACTATTGAGGGCCTCAAAGGTTCTTTCTTTGGACCCTTTGCTACAGGAGTCTAAATACCTCGGACAAAGTTCAAAGAAAGTTTCCAAATTGGTCCTTTTCCCCCTCCATTTGCAGGATGTGCTATGGGTCAAAGGAGTTTCTAGACCACCTTCTCCTTCTCTGCCCATTTCCGAGGAACTGGTGGTGCCGCCTCTTATAAATTTTTAATGTTTCGGTTTGCCTCCCAAATTCCATTGATAGTTGAATTTCTGAAGGTTTGTTGGGTTTGAGGCTTAAAAACAATAAATTTTGAGATGAAATTTTGTGTGGAACAATGTACGGTATACATCTTCTTGGTGGTGTTTAAACCACAATAATATTTCTTTTGTAATTACAGCCTCCTCGTGATTTTTTATGATTAGAAGGCCTTGATTTAGTTTGTTTGGGGGGGGTAACCTCCACCCCTGCCCCTATGCTGTCATATGCCTCCATTTTGAATGAAATTGTTCCAAGTTTCTTATATATATAAATAAATAAAATAAAATAAAAAATAAAACAAAAAACATGAGCTGCACGTAGTTCATCATGCAAAAAGTGGTAACGGACATCCCATGCATCACAACTACCGGTACACCACAGCTAAAATATAGACACATCAAAAGTGTAAAGAGAGAGAAGTGAGAACAAAAAGGTGCATACCTTATTTTCATAAAGAGTCTCAAAATTCTGGGATAGTGTCTCAACTAATTCAACCAAATCAGGCTGATCACCATAAGCATTGCGCAAGTTGTTCCACAGCTGCAAGGGATACCAACCATCAATAACAACAAGCTTTTGGATAGAAAAGCCGAGCCACAAGCCAAAGGAATAACAAAGGGCATTCAAAACAAAACACAATGTTTGATACATAGAACTGTCATGATCAGAAATTAATTGATAAGAAAATAAATTTATATACCAATAACCGGCTATTTCATTCATTCATCATATATCAATCACCACTAAACCTAAAATCTTTGACATTTTCCCTTATTTGTGGGCTTGAAAACTGCCACAAGGCCCAAGTTATTAACACTATTAATTGGAGAGAAAATGTCAAAAATGGCACTACAGGAGTTCTATTACAAAATCTCTTATTCCGATATTATGTTAAATTAAATCACCACTAAACCCAAAAATTTAAGCTTATGGGTTCTGGTAAATTTAATTATAAATACATATTCTTAACAGACACGCAATGTATGTCCCATTCATCATGGAATTTGGAAGACTACGAATTCCATCAGGGTAGACATTAGAAATATTTGACCTCAGATTATCTATTAAATAGTGAATGGGAAGGATATTGTTATCAATGGTTTTCTTCTTAATAAGAGGGTTCACATAGGGATAAATTTCTTCTCGACCAATCCTATTGCTAAATGAGAGTTCTTCTTTAGCATTCATCATCATCATTAATACAGTGTTCTATGAAGCCACTTGAAATGTAAGCAAAGACATACAACAAGACATTAAACAAACCCGAACCTCTTGCACATCCTCAAGAAATGCTTCATGTGATCCACCATAAGACCCGGCAGCTAATCTCAAGTCAATAGTCCTGAAGTCCAGTGGCCGAGAAACCATGGCTGGTGGACCAAGAAGCCCTTCATCATCATTATCACTTGAAGCCATTAATTTCCTGCCAAGCAAGTTGCAGAAGACTTTTGCATCATCTGCAGCAGCAGCATGACGTAATACAATGCGACATTGCTTCATGACAATATCTGATATAGAAATATTCGTCCTCTTTCTTCGTTTTTCAACTTTCTGTGGCAAGCCATCACTGCTTATATCTGCTAGTAATGAAAGAACGGCTTTCTGTATTTGATGATCAGAAAAAAGCAAATTAATTGAAAAGCAAGTTATATAAAAAATAATAAATAAATAAGATAAAAAGATACAAATATAATTTGGAAGAAAGTAATTCATATTCAAGTAAGAATTACAAATTCCTGAAGCCAAAAACAACAGTCCATGCAAGGATTTTTTCCATAGATCATATTGCCAGTTTATGTAAACAGGAAACACTCACATATTATGACCACAAGCTATGTTAACAACCTCAGCTGTCCTCCCATTCCCAAGGCCAGCTATGGTGTGTATCTGGCCCTGTAGAGGCTGCCATTTCAAAGGAAATGGTTGTATTTGATACTTAGTAAATAAAGGTAGCACATAATATTCTATATTCATGATGAGCAAGGTCCAATCAACCGAAGGCCTTGCATTTACAACCAATCATAAATGGTTCTCCTGACAGTATAAAGTAAGATATGGTTCTTCAAATTGCTCGCAGTCCAATGTCCACAAAGAAACTCAGCACATCTGATAAACTTTGTTCGACTTTTTTCCTTTCTTGGGAAAGGGCCATCTTATCCTGTGTCCATTAGGCTGTTTGGTTTTGTCTCAGTCTTCTTTTTTGACTGAAATCTCTCTGTTTCTTATCCCAAAAAAAACACACACACAAGCAAATAAACAAAACAAAACAAACAAAAACAATTGTGTTTTACATCTTAAAGATAATTCAAAAATTTGGGGAATAGGAACTATGAAGATTCAGAAGACAGGAGCAGAGATTGGCCAAGGGTGGGATATTATGCATCTTAACACTTTCTTTTATAAGAAACATCAATTTCATATGCATCTTAATACGTCTCTTTAATACTCTAATACCAAAATGTTTTACATATTACAGAGTTTTTTAAATCTCCCAAGGCCTGGTTGAATATCTCTCCCTTCCTCTTAAAAATTTAATTGCAGTGATTTTGTTTCTTATCCCGAAAAACAAACAAAAGAGAATGCAACGGAAATCAGCAGACAGTACAGTTAACCCAACTGAGTGCAATTGCAGTTGGATAAACTTCACCAAAGAGCAGCATAGCAAATTTTGAAATACAAGATCATGGAACACAACAAAGTAATTAGTAGCCAATTAGCTATCAAAAACGTCTATGAATATTTCTTACGCTATTGAAGCCTAAAACATGTTCAAAAGAAATGTAGAGAATGAATAAAATTGCACCTTTGTAGGTCCTGATGCGTTGCCCTTGTAAACTTCCTTACTAATTGAATGTTCCAAAATCTTTTTTGCCCATTCCGGTGGATCCCTCTCCAGAGCATCATAAACACACTTTCTTATTCTAGTTCCCACATTTGTTGGTAACTTTCTAACAGGTTCTAGCACTTGTGCCCACTCTGGCATATTACCATCAGTCAGAAGCACCTTCTCACAACCACCAGTTGTATCAGAGGATTCCTCTTCTATTGTAATAACATGTTTTTCTCTATTCAAAGATCCAAATATTTGCTTTGTAGCCTCTGCAAGCAGCTGAAAATAACAAATATTAGTGCGATCCTAAAAACAGAAAAGATCAGGTAACAATTAATCTAACATGTAGAAACAAACGAAACCATAACCTACACAAGTGAAAAAGAAAAAAAAAGCTACTCACATGATCTCAATAAAGTAGTGGAAGATGTC